TTGCCGTGTAATGATCCATATTTACAGGCATCCAGGGTGTCAATCAAGGTTGGAGCCCACAGTTCCTTCGCCCTGTTGCCGATTTTATCGAGCCCAGCTTTTATTCTTCAAGAAGCTAATTGGACCGCTTTTAGCTGAAAGGAACCATGCCACGTCAGCTATTGCTAATTTTAACTGGGTAATTCAATGTTTTACAAGAGAAAATTTGAGCAGATTCCTTCGAAAATAAATTGAAAGGAATTTGCTTCTTACCATGCAGAAAATTCACTGAAATTTGCACGAAAATCCGTTTTTGTGTTAAATATTAAAAGGCTCCATTAATTTTAGCAGTAGCGGCTGTGATTTGGTTAATTTCGACGCATTCATGCTAAAAGGAACTAAGTGCATGGGGTTTGCATGCAACATAGTTTCCTCCAGCATAAATACGTCCAGCTTCTGCTTAACCCGATCAAATTGGACTGTATATGTAACAGAACAGAGCCAGCGAGGTTACGGTATTATAAAAATCGTGCTTCTTTACCTTATCTAAAGAAAAAAATGCCAAGAATAGCATGTAGTTTTTGCTTTTATGGGTATGAGAGATTGTTAATTTCCAAGGAAAACATTTGTTTAAATGTTATTTCGATGGATATTTTTAGTATTTTATAAGATAAAGCAGATGTTGCACGATTTTAAAAATACTGTAATCGAGCTGGTTCTCTTCTGTAATATGCAGTCCTATTAAACGCGTGTGTGGTGAGGAAGTAAAAAACACATACTTGGGTGTTTTTTTAGAAAAGATTTTTATGCAATAATGCGCGGAGGACATGGTGTCTCGGACCTAGAAAACCCCTAAAATACCGGGATCTATGATTCATCAGCCAGCAAAAAATCTTCGATCAAATCAGGGAATTGGTTTTATGAACTGATGTGCATTGCTCCTTTTTCCCTTCCATGCTCATTTTGTGCAAAAAGTTTCGCAATTCACGTTGACTCGGTGGTCGGCGCTACAAAATGATCCTATTGATGATAAAATCAGTGAATTTCCTTCTATCTTCTGTGCAAAATGATGCCAAAGAATCTGAGGGGAAAATAAGAGTAAGCCCTGGACTTCCATCAGGAGTTCACTGGTAAATTTCAGGGAATACGGCACTGCCTAGTTTTTACGGCTTTGGAGACTTTAATGCAACAGATTTGACCCAGAGATTCGATCAGTTTAACCAGAAAAATTTTACCAAAATGTATGTTACATTTTGCTCAACTTCACGTATGAATGCAAGAATTTGGTCACTTCATTTATTACTTGAATCGCTTTAAGATTAAAAGCTGGATGTTCTTCAGGAATGAGACACTGTGCCTATGTTTTAAAGTTCAATAAGCATCATGTTTAGTGAATGATGCAAAACGATTCGATCAGTGTTACCGAGAGAAAAACAAATAAACAATCATCCGAAAGATTTGGTGAATTATTGTTCCACGTCCCCTACGGACGCGGCATTTTGGTTACTTTTTCATTGTATACGTCACCAAACTTAAGAGCGGAACTACTACAAACCACTCAATAAGACTACAGTGTTTCGATTTTTCTCTCAATCGATCCACTGCACCAGCAATGTTCATGCCAGTTTAGTTCAGAACCATTTTAGCAGTACAAGTGTAATCTTGATCAACATTTGCAGGAAAGATGGATTTTGTACAAAAAAAAAATTCTGCTTCAAAAGTCTACAGTTGCCTGCATTTACAACGCGGTCATGCGATGTAGGTAGATTAAACCCGTTGCGTCCTAATAATGCGATTGAAGTTCTTGCAGCCTCATTACATCTCTCTGGGGAAAAACGATTTGCAGAAGAGGCGTGTTGGGAAAAAACTTAGAGCTAGCCGTATTTATAGCCTTTCGTCTGTGAAAATATTTCCCGCTTTCTTGTGCTCAAACCCCTTGCGCGCAGTAAGGCGTGACCTTTAAGTCCGGGAAATTTAGAGAAGCTGAATTTATTCCAAAGACATAATCGATCGCGCGTCGACTGTGGCAAATACATTTACACCCCTGCCCGCCTGCCGTGTTTCCCGCATTCCCGTCCCTACAATCATATTCCACATCTCTCCAGTTTCTTTTTCATTCTCCCTTCTACGTTCAATATTTTCTGCAATCGCTATTTATCGGCAACCCACAATCGTCATCGGCAGCGGAATTGAAAATTTGTCGGATTTTGGGATAAAATCTGAATTACTTTGAGTTGGTTTTTTACCTTTTATTTTCAGGATATATAAACGGAAGTAGGATAAATTTAGGAAAGAACGGGATAATTTTACGAGACGAGACGAGACGAACAAGAGAACACAGATTGATCTAACTAAAAATTTGGTTTCTAAGGCGACGACCAAGGGGGACCCTCTGCTTCAGGAATGAAACAAAGAAATGGCCGCAAAATTGCATTGCAGCAGCGTCTCCTAAAAAGAGACGGTTGCAATTAACTGGAATTCCGAAACCTTTTTTTGTAAGTAGATGCCTTTCAATATAGAGAAGGCACGATTAAAGAAGGTCGGCGTCCTGACATGAGTCACCGCTGTGCTTACAATGCCACATCGATACACTCGTGGTGAACATAATGCAGACATTCTACGCGCCAATGTCGTGCAGGGGGGGGGGGGGGAATTGTATTTCTTGCTATGCTGACATTCGTTCTTCGAAATGAAAGGGAAATGTTTTGAATCATTATTCAACTTATCTTGAGCACAAATGACTCAAAATTGGTAACTCAAATAGCATTCTTAAGGGCACTTGCACCTGGAATACAAAACTTCTCACCATGAGGTAGTGCGAAAACCTATGGACTATAGGCAAATAAACTTGATTATTTTGACACAATTTAAAAAAAATCGAGAACTATGAAAATATTTAATTACGTGGCTTAAATTGGGTGCAGTCTATCTTCTTGTGAAACTTAAATGATAATTTACAAGTGATGAAATTCAAGCACCATTGATATACCTAAGTTAAGAGTCGCACCTCGGATCATAAAACTCAATTTCAAAGGTTCTAGGAACAAAATCCTAGGCACTTATAAATTTATGAAACTTGAACGCCACTAAACAAGTAATAAAAAAAGTAAACAATGAAAACAAAGAGGTTATTTTAAAGTACCACTGCTAATTTTTAACTTGCTCTCTAGAGCATGAAATGTGCATAAAATTTAAAGGTATAATGAGGAAGAGCCCTAGTGGAACAAACACAAACATTCCTCGGTAAAAAATAACCTCAGATAGAAACTTCATTTTGTGCAAAAAATTTGAAGATGCAAATAAAACGGGAGATTTATCTCTCATCTTTAGTGGCCACTATATGCATGGCTTTGGACCAAAAATCCTCAGCGATCTCAGAAGATCCAACCGACACAAATTATCGACGTCCCGTATCTTGAAATCTCTTGTAGCTTGCGATACGCTGCTTCCTGCTTTCATCGCCATGTTGCATTCTATGAACGAAATGCGTGGCACGAAGCTTGAGCGGCTGGTCGCAGAAAGCCGATCAAAAAGTAGCCACAATAATCATGAGCGGGCATGAAAAAGGAGTTGAGGATGAGGTGTCTGAAAAGAGGACTTATTTATTCCATCCCAGGCGGAGAGCCGAGGAGGCGAAAACTGCGGGGGCTCATTCCAAGCAAGGGCAGTCGAGCTTCGTTCGCAGAGATAAATTTTCGTGCCATTACATTTCGGAGCGATTTCCCGGTAATTTCCAGCCAGCTAATTGCTCGCAATTCCATGCTGGAGATTAACCATGCTCCATTCCCGTTGAAGCTCGTTGCAAGCAGGACACTCCCGCAGCCACGGTCAGCGACGATTCTCTCACTTTGGCAACATTTCCAACAGAGAGAAGGAAGAGAAAAATGAAAACGAGAAAAAAACAAAAAACGTGAGACTAAGAAGGAACAGAGCGAGAGGGGTCAAAAAACAATTTTTGAGAGAGAGTAATTTTGAAAAAGGGTTAAATAATGATTTTTCTCGTTAGATACAACAACAGTTACAAAATGTTTAACAAAAAATAGGTGTTCAGAATTTCAAACTCATAGCCACTCTCCATTTTGCTTCATCCTGTCCTCATCTTTCTTCTGTTGTTGTTTCGCTCTTTTCCGTTGTTGATGTCCTTTGCCTGGTTTCGCATGCCATTTTGGGTTCCTTCTCTTCTTGGTGCTCTCCCTATCCACTCCTTCCGTGATTTCGCTCGTTGATGGGCCTGGCGTTGGGGGTATTTCTTGGCTTGCCACCTCCACGCGTTCGTTAAGCTCTGTTGACGTTCATTTAGGTGTAGGTATATGACAGGGTGTCTATTAGTCCGGCAATAGTGCTGATTTTTTAAGAGAAATATTAGAATTAGAAAAGCCTAATACATCCCTCAGGGGCCTGGCCTCTCCATTGCGGGAGGTTAGAGAGAAAATTGGAGTTCTAGAGGCTTGTTTAAAATGTTGACATCTTCGCAATTGCACTTGTCTCCAAGTTGCGCCAACGTTCCCGATCCTTGCCCAGACTCCACCAGTCTTTTTCTGCATGGGTCACCAGTTCGTCGCTCCATCTTATCGGCTGTCTGCCCTTGTTCCTTTTACCGCCAAATGCAGAATGTTTCAACATGCAATCATAGCCTCAAAAGTCAATCGAGTAATCCGAGGGAACGGGTTTCTTGCGATAGATTTTTGATTCCTATGAGTATACATATACTGGCAATGGAAAGTGAAAGAGTAAGTGTCAGGAATTTTCTCATTTTCAGCTTTTCCTACTTAAATCCTAAATTTTTTGTTCGAGGTTATCTTGTATTATTTTGAAGCAAAAGATACATGGAAGCACTATCGAATACGATTTTTTTTTTGGGGGGGAGGGGCAATTTTTGGGGGCCAAGTTGGCGCAGAGCCTTCATCATATTTTAGGCGCCATGACCGTTTTCTTGGGCGCATTTGGCGCGTTGGCGCCTGTGAGTTTCGAGCACTGCTTCAGACACTGCTTTACTGATGGACATGCATGGTGTGTTTCAGGTGACGTGAGAGGACGGAGCGGGGCTGTGTGCGAAGCGTGAAGCGTAATGAATACGTTGAACGTCGAAGCCGAGAACAAGGTGATCCTCAACGTGGGCGGGATCCGTCATGAGACGTACAAGGCGACGCTCAAGAAGATCCCGGCCACCCGCCTCTCTCGACTCACCGAAGCCCTCGGCAACTACGACCCCATGCTCAACGAGTACTTCTTCGATCGACACCCCGGGGTCTTCGCACAAGTCCTCAACTACTACAGGTACACCTCAAACTTATTTTTATCTCACATTCCAACCAGCATTCGACTGACCCGCCAAGCTATGCAGACTCCAAATGGAGGCACTGGAAAAAAAACAAGCAGGAAGCTCCAACGCATTGGCGTCGGAGAGCGGCTCTGGGGGCAGTAGTTGTAGTCAAGAATGAGGGCCTAGACACATTTTGTCATTGATGTACAATCCGACAACTGTCGAATCATGTTTTGTAACTTAGCAGATTTACGTAGCCGGTGTATAAATGTGTATTGGGCTTTGATATGGCGAATACATGGCATTATCACTTGTTGTATACTTTTAATTTTGAAAGCTCTTTGGAGGTCCGCTTCCTAAAAAATCTCTGGTTGATAAGTCGTTTAGCGAGGCTGCAAAAAATTTGCATTTTTATATCTGAAAGTGTAGGTATTGGTTTTTTGTATAATTGTTTTTTTGGATTGCTGGAAAAGTAACGCATACTTCTATAATTTAGGACTGAGTCAGGGAAATATAAGGTTCGTTAAATAGTAAATATTCCTAGTACCGTGTGACACTATTGTTAACGAAAAGTTTTTGCAACTTGTCAAAGAGGTTGTTGAATGATCTTCGAATAACTTTTGATGAGCTAGAGGTAATGGTTCTATCTGCAGCTCGTGGACTTCTGTACGATATTGTCCAGAATCATCTAAATTTTCAAAAAGTGTCCGCTTGTTCGATACCCAATTTGCTCATTCATGCATACAAGGAGAAGCGCATGAAAGCTTTAGCAGACATTTTGGAGATGAATCAAGAATTAGATGAAGAATTTATGACTTAAATCACGGCACCTTAATCACGGGATGACCTTAATTACGGCAACTATTTATTGTCCATGAGATGCAGATGGTTCCATTTCCCTAGCTCATCAAAAGGTATTCGAAGATCAATTTCATCAGCCACCCGTACGAACCACGTTTCTAGTGACCCGTACTTGCTTCGCACGTATGAAACATACAATCAGAGAAAACAGAATTCATCTTACAATAATCAATAATCAGTAGGACATGAATCGTTGCGATGTATAATACGACATTATAATGCGGCATTACTATTGTAATTCATTTTAATGGATTAGGGGCATTATAAATCATTATTGCCACGTCGGAATGAAATGTTGTAGACTGAATTGAAAAGCATGTTGGCAAAATTTATTATAAAAATAGTATAACATGTAGGTACATAACATAAAGGTAATACAAATTAAATGATTAGAGCGTGTATATTTCATTACATTATAGGTATATTACAATCATTTTTGTCATTGTTGGAAATTTTGATAGTTTGAAATTTGATAGTTGATAGTTGATAGTTTGAGAGTTGAAAATTTGGTTATTTTATTTAGTTAAGGTGATTCGATAGACGCCATATTTTGTGTCAGAATGGCATGCGACATATCCCATCAATTGGTTCCATTTTTTCATTTACTCATCATTTTTCTCCAATTTTAAGTTTCGCAATTCTGTTTTCAGGAGACTAAAGCACTCACTTATCAATTTGTATATTTATATTGAGTTAAGGGTAGAGACGTATTCCTCACCGGAATTGAGGAATGGAGGTGTTACAGTAAGTCCGGCATTAGGTTCCATTTCGACATCAGCGACGATCAACGCTACGATACTGGAAGCCAGTCTTCCGATATTAAATCCCTAGCGGGGAAGAAAAAAAATGCCTAGATTTCGCTAAAAATCCCTAAATCCCCAGATTTGCTCAAATATACTTAAAAAATCCCTAGATTTTGCAAAAAGCGCCATTTTTAACGAAGAATCATGATGTCATTCGATGTAGCGATTTGCAATATTTAAATCTGATTGGCTCGTTTGAATTTTGGCGCTCTCTGAAAGCAGTGCTAATCCAGACCAATAAAATGAAAGAATATTAGTTGATTTCTTATTATTAACAGGTTGAATGCAGTTGAATGTCAAGTACATCGAAGGACGCAATCGTTTTAATTTCCGGCTTATTTGCGGGGAAAATAGTGTTGCCAAAAAGGCCTACAAAATATAGATGAAAAAATGTTTTCGATTGTCGAAGCTAGAATTGAGGTTAAAAAGTTGATTTTTGGTAACTTTACCTCATCAAAAAAAAATCCCTAGATTTCCTGAAAAATCCCTAAATCCCTGGAAATTCCGGAAAATCCCTAAATCTAGGGATAAACCCTTAGACATCGGATGGCTGTTGGAAGCATTAGAGTCAACATTTGAAACGCTGCTGCAGAATTTGCCGGGAGTATAATCGAGTGTTGAAAGTCAGTAGAATTGAACAATGTAATAATTGCTTTCCGAAATAAGCGTTATAATAAAAAAACCACGAATCTGAACTGTTAATACTGGAACACACCTTCTGTAAATGTACCTTGCGAGAGATAAGTAAAAAAATAGATGTACTGGAGGAGAAGTGCTTCTCCACAGAGTTTGAAGAAGGAAAAAAAATGCCCAAATTTACTTACTTCAGCATTTTCGGCAAAATCACTGCAATTTCCGAACCTTTTTCTGGCCAGGGGCCAAAATTAAATGATTATGAAGGGCCACTTAGATGTTGTAGATAAAAATAGGACTGTTGAAAAAGTCGCCGTTTTCAATAAATATGTTCCCGGAATGGAAGAAATAGCTCACAAATAAAAGCAAATTGCCATAGAAACTTCTTCACGAAATCACACACACAACGAAGAACGAGGCGCTACAGACGAGTCCGTCCAGGACAAGTTAAAAAATTCCCATGAGCCGAGTGCCGTAGGTTAAGGGCCCGTTCGCCAAAACTAATCGGAACTGTATGAATGAATTGCTCCTTTTAAAAATCAAAACAATATCGAATTGCGATATATTACACAGTTAAGATAGGGCTATGTCCTGTCGTAAGCGGCGACATACAGTCGATATCATTTCAATAATCGCCCCAATGGCCACGATAGTTGTTAGACGTTTACGGTTTCCCTGGTAACCTTTGTTTGCTATCAGCTGATATCAAGTAATATGACTAGGAAGCTCCAACCCAGTGGTTAAAGCTTCCTTAACCGCGAAAACTTTAAAATTCAAATTTTCAAATTTTGAACGTAAAGTACATTTTTTCCATCACGAGATAAAAGCACAAACAAGTTTTGAATTGTTGACTGTATCACCATGATTCCAAAAATACAATACACAACATAGCATTGACTAACAATAAAACAGTATGCAATAAAATAAAGTCATGACAAGGAACATAGCCGAAAATGGCGCCGATTCCCATCAACCAACGCGCGGTCTCTACAATGTAACATGCTGCATTGATACACTGAAAAAAATGAGTTAGCGTCAGAGGACTAAAAATGGTTTCTATACACTAACTCAAATTGTGTGATTTGGACACACATGATTTTTGGTTTCTGTACACTAACCACTATTAGTGCTGGAAACTAATTCCGCTACTCTAATTCGCATTCGGTAGGGTTGGGTCAACCTAACCTCAAAACTGAGAGAGGAGAAAACGGCTTAGCGAATGATAACTGGACAATACTTTCAGGAAAAGAAGATTTCTTAAAAAACGAGAGGTAAAAATAAACTGACCGGTTCCAAATGAACGGCAGAGGAAAGGAATATCCCATAGGTATGTGCAAGTAGACAGAATTATCCTTTAGAGAGAGACACCTTCACACATGAAACGGTAGCGAATGTTCACACTGAATAAACATATCTCGTCCGAACACTTGAGATATTCTTTTGAAATTACGGGAGAACACGAACTATAGAAGTAAGCAGTAAGTTCACAGATTTTCGTAAAATATAAACTGAACGCGGAACGCTTTAATCGCAATTTAATACAGAAGATTGACGACTCCAACGAATATCATGCTTGTTTACGTTTCGAATCGAACAGACGATTTCTAACATTAACAGGTTTATTTATGTTGCTTTCGAACGTTTTCAAGAAAGAGAGGACACTATAAATCATACCGGGAGTATTTACATTGTCAAACGAGCCCGAAATTTCACATTTTAATTGATTTTCACGAGCTGACGCGATTGAGGCTGTTGTACCGACGCCACTTTTTCGAAACTAAATAAATGTAACGGACAATGTGGCAGTTAACGTTGAGGGCGAATTAGTTTGACCCGAAAGTGAATTTGTCTTACCACAGCGCTAATTTTACAGCTAGTGCTGTTTTCCAATTCTGGTTCGCGCTCTAGTAAAGTCAAGTCAGCGTATGAAGCGAATTGATTGGTGCTTCAGTACAATAAATTAGTTCTGAAGCCTAATTTTGATTCTACTTGGCGAGAACTTACCAAATTAGTTCTCAACGCTAACTACTTTTTTTTTCAGTGTACTCCCCAGCTGGGACCGTCCGGAATAGCAGCTCTAGTGCAAGCACCAGAGCCGCTAAAACCACATCGCATCTAGAGTCCAGACTCTTGGAAACTTTGACAAGAAGAAATACTCTTGATTCAATCGGATTTTTGCTTGAATCCAAACGAAATCCGCTTAAACTAAGAGGCTTGGTTCTTGATTTAAGCTAGATTCTGATTGAATCAAGAGTACTTTTTCTTGTCGATGTTTTTAAGAGTCTGGACTCTAGATCCAATCCTTTTCTTTCTCCTTTTGGAGGTGCGAAATAACCGCAACCTGGTTTCCATAGAACCATTGATCGAATTGCCATGTTGTTTGAATGAGGAAATTGGAGGAGAGAGCCAAACGGTAAGGGATGGAATTTTTGGGGGATTTCATCATCAAAAAAGTCTGAAATCCACTCCCATTTGCGCAAACTGCGTAGATTGGAACACGCTTTTCCTGAATTTGTTTTGGCGAAAAGGGAGATCTAATTGAAGCGTGGTGAAATACCTATCGTTCCAAGGAGATCCCTACTAATTCAATGAAGAGATTCAAGTCATGGGTGTTTGGTGGAATTCATGTCATTTCAGTTCGATAAATTTCTCAGTTGACTCAGCGCAGGATAGGATTCTCCTACTTTCAAATGATCCCTCAAAGAATATACCCTTTG